CAGTTCTCATTTAAAAGATTCAAAATATTGCGCATAGTATTAGTCATCAAAGGTTCTCCTATTGAGAGAAATGATAGATTGGATAAGAAATAGGTATTAGTATTGTATCCTACCTCCAGATAAAACGCAACGAAGTGTTTTTAAACTCTCCTTGTTAGTTGCAGTGTGTAAATAATCGCCGAGTATGCTTAGCAATGAAGGAACGACATTTAAAAAAGTGACTTGTTGACGACCAATTGTTTCAGAAAAGAAATTCATACTAAGATTACCATTTGGATGAAGTAGAATTACTTGACCACCCATTATTAGAGTTCCGACAATTTCTAATAAATGAACATCAAAATTAACTGATGTATGATGAAGAACAGTATCCGTCGGTTGAATATGAATGGAACGAATACTTGAAATAAAATTGCGATGGCGAAGTTGAACCTAAAGTAATCACAAAGAACAAATCAATCATAGATCTTTATACTAATTACTTGTATCCACTTACTGCTTTGAGTAAGCCAGAATGTTCCTTTGTGAAAATAATATGTGAGATATGTTCAGATGTTACATTGACCAAATCAATGCATGTTGTTATTTCTTCGTTCATGTGTGCAAAACCAATAACTTCATCAGTATTGATCGATAAACATTGAGAAAGAAGTTGATCATGTGTAGGTTGATGGACAAGAATGAGATGAGCATCAGTCTGTTGAATATATGCATTCAATTGCGTATCAGGATCATGTAAGTTCAAAGGAGTATAAACACCACCACTCATCCAAATACCGATCATTCCAATTACCATTTCGAAAGATCGTTCTATTAATTGACAAACCATTTGACCAGACTGAACAGTACATGTAGTGATTAGATGATTCGCTACCTGTTGAGCATAGTAGAGTAGTTCGCCATAAGTCATCGATCCATTTTCTAAAACTAAAGCTACTTTTTGAGGATGTAAATGTGCTTGATAAGCAAAATCCCAATGAATACAACCAATTTGACAATAATCAACAAAAGTATTGTTCAGATCACGTATTAATTCAACTTCATGTGGAAGTAAAAGCGAAAATTGATAGATGGAGGAAATAGAAAAGAGTTGATCAAAAATATTCTTCAAACGCATTGACATTGTGGAAATAGTTGACTTATCATAAACATCGAGTGAACCATTGAGCGTAACAGAGATTGTCTCGTTTTGACGATGTTCATGCAGTGTACAAGTTATATCAAATTTAGCAATATTGCCGGTCAGTAAGTGTCTGTCTATCATGTTTAGTGTAGTTCCCTCATTGATTTCTATATTTTGTTCATCGCTACTGATTATCGTCTCAATAAGAAAAAGAGTTCGAAGAAAAGAGGATCCTAATTTTGGATTAAGGTTAAGAATATCCTGACACGGCAAATGTGAATGCGGAAGAATATCAAGCCAAAGTTGTTGAATTCGGTGACAAAATTGAATAAAAGTTTCATACGGATCAATCTTCAAACAAAATGGTAGATCATTGGAAAAATAGCCAATCACGTTTTGAAGTTGATATAGAGATCTGTTGGCTACAACTATACCTGTATGCAAATCGAGCTGTTGGCTGTTGGACATTTTGAAAAGAAAGGCAAAGAAAGCAGCGAGACCAACTTGAAAAAGTGTCAAATTTGATTGAGAAATAAAACGATTCAAATTAATAACAAGATTATGATCAAGATCGAATGTTACTGCACAACCTTTGCCACTTCGTATGGAAGAGTTTTGTTGATCAATTGAATTGTTTAAAGTTGATAAGACGTTATTCCAATATTGTCGAGCACTCGACCAGTCTTCTAATCGTTCATATTGTGCGTAGTCAATATAGGTCATATTGTCTTCATTGTTGTTAGACGATGCTTGCATTGTAAGAGCTTGTCGAAGGTCATTAATGAATATCATAATTGAACTACCATCGATAGCAATATGATGAAAATTGAAAAGAATAATGTCGTCTTGTTTCAAATTATTGTCATCGTTGTTGTTAAATGATTGACGAAGAACATGACATCGAAACACTCGACCTTGCTCAAGATCGAACAAAGATCGGTTTATTTCTTCGTTTAACACGATTTGTTTCAAATGAGTATCATTCATTACACAGGTAGTTTCTAGATCGAACAGATCATTTGATATCGGAAGTATCTTCTGTATGAGTTTGTCTTGATCATAAATTACTGCTGTACGAAATATTTCATGTTTACCAATAATAAATGTAAGAGCTTGACGTAGACGATCTGTTGATAACGAAGTGGTTGATGTTAACCGATAGATAAGTAATTCATTATAAGCAGATATTTGTTCATTAAAGGAGTCATTGAAACGTATATTTTCGTCCATCCAGAGACGTTGTTGAGCAAATGAGGCCACTCCTATTTGAAGTTCGATAATTAGACTTAAGGTTTCCTTAATAGAGAGAACGTACCTTGTACTAGATGAAGTGAATTCCAACTGATGTGTGATTTTGTCTTGCTATTTATCAGGAGCTGAATATGCTCAGCAATAGTTGGACTTCGAAAGAAATCAATTACGTTGAGTTGTTTATCTGAAGCAAAATGGAACTGATAATAGTTGAAGATGTACATCAATGAAAGAGATGAACCACCCAAAGCAAAACAATTCATATGCCGAGGGACAGCGTCAAGTCTTAATGTAGAACACCACAAACGATGTACTTTCTCTTCTAATTCTGACATTAGCCGATCTTCAATTGGGGGAAAGTTAGAGAATGCATCCAAGCGTAATGACGGCAGTGGAAGTTGTTTTCTGTCAATTTTTCCATTGGCATTGATTGGAAATTTATCAATTACAACGAAATAAGATGGAATCATATATTGACGAAGGTATTTATTGCAATGGCTTCGAATTTCTTCAGTGTTGAGTTCCGAATCATTTGAGACCACATAAGCAACAAGCAAATCATCATTTTGAGGAGCTTTGATGACTAGACAGTTCGAGATCTTGGTAGGAGACCAGCTCACAATAGTATTTTCAATTTCAGCTGGTTCCACTCGTTGGCCATGTACTTTCATTTGAAAATCAATACGACCAACATAAATAAGTTCTTCTTTTGTATTATATCGAGCTAAGTCACCTGTTTTCAAATAAACTTGATTCTGAATAGTGACAAATCTGTTGGTGGTACGTTCTGGCTCATCCAAATAGCAGTTGAATAGAGTTGATCCTACAAAGAAAAATAGAAAATAGTTATGAACAATGATTGGAATGAATACTATTGACCTGCAATATGAATTTCACCGATATCACTGTGATTGTTTGTATTACTAATCACATCACCTTGTTCACCAATTAGTAAACATTGATTGCCTGGCAACGGATAACCAATAGGTATGTCAATACCATCAATATCTTGTATTTGACACCCAATTGGCACATGGCACTCAGACAGACCAAATAAACAAATAGTTCGAGGATTGAACGGAGTTAGAAATTTGAGAAAATGTGTCCATTCTTGGTGCTTCATGGCGTCGCCTAAATATACGAGAACGAGTAAGGCATACAAACAATTCAACACTGCAATGGACAAGTTCATAATTACCTGCGGTGCACACAGTGCGAACAAAACTGAACGTTTCAAATCGTTGACTAATCTCGATATACTTGCAAAGAGCTTGAATTATAGCAGGACCGATTGGAAGTCCCGTTATTTGTTGATGTACCAGGGTCCGACAGAAATAGGCTATATCATAAACGGCACCTGGCCGTAGAAGCACCAGAGTACCACCAACTATTAGTGTCGGTCCTATAACTAACAGATGCGTGATCCATGAACAAGCAGAAACCTGAAGAACTTGGCCTTCAAACATATTCTCCCCAACCGGCCATTGAGCAAGAGAACCAATACCTGCCGAAAAACTTTTGTGAGTGTGCACTACTGCTTTTTGTCGTCCAGTTGTACCTGAGGTAAAAATAATGTACGCAGGGCCATACTCTCGACAATCTGGAATATCTTCTATATCTTCAACTCTTAACGACGAGACAAGAATATTATCCAATCGAACAACGTATGGAACAGCTGTTGACGGAAACTTATGACGAGTTATTCCATGCAGCAGAACATATTGACCACCTATTTGATCGAGAATTGAAGCAACACGTTCATGCTGATCCGTTGGATTTAATGGACAGTACACACCACCAGCGCACATGATACCAAACATACCACAGATCATTTCAAGTCCTCGCTCAACAAACTGGTAAACGATTTGTCCTTGAACAATGTGTAAAATGTGTAGATGATGTGCTACACGTTCAATCTCTTCGATCAGTTCACTGTAGGTCCAGGCTTGATCATCAAGCACGACAGCTACCTTTTGAGGGTATATTTTAGCAGTCTCAAAAAGCTGTCGTAATACATAGAATGATGCCATGTTTTTTCCAAATATGATTGAAAATTAAAAGTTTTTGAAAATTATCTGAAAAAGAAAATATTGAGCAGTGCAAGAATGAAATTTTCAGTAATGGAAATTTCGATAAAAATAAAAGAAGTCAGTTAAACAACTAATTAAAAATGATAAGTGAATTTCTAATACATGAGTAGAAACACCCAGGTGCAAAAATCGTACGAGGATCATATAAGATCTTATACGATCTTACTGACAATTAGATTTTGTAAGATTCAGATTGTATGATCTTACGAAATCTTGCAAATTTCTTGTTCTAAGATTTAATATGATTCTTATTATAAGATGCTAGCGTCAATCTTATATGATTCTTGATATAAGATTCTTGCAAGATCTGAGGATGGGAGTCTTGTAAGATATTGTAAGATCTTGCCAGACCATAATTTTAAGATATTTCTCATGCAAACTAGTTTTTATAACGATAGCTTTATAGATGTAGATTACTACACGTGTTTAAGTGATGGAATGCTTCCTAATAGAAATATAATTTCTTTTTAAATTGCAAATACACGTTTTGTATACAGCAATGCTTATTATAAAAACAGCACACTCCTAATCAATCTGATTTGACTTGATTAAGTTTATTATTGTTTTGACTTTTATCTTGTTAAATTCATTTTATCGTTTATTCTTATTGAAAAAAACATTTTTTGTATTTGTTTGTAAAACTGTAATTAATAATAATTCTCTAGTGTAGAGGACACGTAAGCTGACAATGGCTAATATAGACTATATATATGAGCGAGAAACCGTTACATTCGTCTTATATTCTGGTATGGTGGAAGAAATTGCACGTCATATATTTTTTCAAAAATACAACTAGGCTTTTTATATTAATTTATAATTCTTCAAAATTATCCAGTTTTGTTTTAGATATTTGAAATTCGTATCGATCTTATTTAGTCTTTTTGGTTTCATCAACTGAATTTCGATATTTCTGGTTTATTTTGACTCAAACTAATGATGAAAAATATTATTTTATTTTACTTTCAATCAATGTGAAAGGAGTTAGTTTCATTTGATGTATATGCTTAACTTATTTCAGTTATGTTATAATTAATCTAAGAAGATTATCTATTTATAGTCAAAATAAAATGAAAGCAATTTAATGCAACTTTACTTGTTTTACGACAAAATAGATTTACTTTCATAAGATTATTTATTTAATAGTCTGGGAAAATAAACTAAATTCAAAGTGAAGAGATTTATCTTACTTGAAATAAAGTTAAACTAATAGAATTATTGCATTTATATTTTTTTTAATACAAAATTAATATTCAATTTGATAACATTATTTAGAATTTACATTATATTGAACTAAATTAACCTAATTTTGTCATTTTATTTTATTTCAATTGAAATAAAATTAACATACTAGATTTTTTCTACAATTAAATTAAATTATTTTATCTGATCATTTCAACTAACACAAAATAAATATAATAAAATTATTCATTTATGATTAAAATAAAATCAAGGAAATCTTATCCAATATAATTTGGTTAAAACCGTTTTCCAAACTACAACTTTGTAATTAATTAAGTCCATTTCAATATCGAACTCTACTCTATATACTAGTGGTCGATTATTCGAGAACGAGCTTAAAATTAACATCAAACCGAACTGTGATCTGTTTTTGATAAAATTACGCATTACTCATTGCATGTTTTCATGTAGAAATGATAAATATTTTTTTTATTTAAAAATAAATTTAGTCTGAGACGAAGTAAAATGATAAAAATTTAGCGATAAATGTTTTCTCTTGAAACAAAGAGTTTGAAGAAGGTAACTCAGCCTGTTGAAAAATCAGGTAGAGGTGATGAAAAGTGCAAGAATATCAATCATGCGATGCATTCTATAGTTGTATAGAAGCATGTATGAATAATGCAAGATCTTATGAGATCATACAATAAGATCATATAAGAATCGTACAGTACGATGTGATCAGATGTGCAGGCTTTACGACTATCTTATAAAAATCATACAAGATCGTATATGACTTTCATACGATCTTATATGATCATATAAGATTTCACAGTAAGATCTTGTAAGGTATTGCAATATCGCACAAGATCTTATTGTCGGATTCTTCGACCTGGATAGAGATGTACAGCTTACTCTCATGAGCGTAAGTCGTTTTCCTGTCTAAAACAGGAGAGATCTTTTGATTTTGATTTTTTTCAGCATGAAAAGGATTTTTTTTTTCAAGTAGTGTCTTTTTATAAAATTTGATCAAAGGTGTTCGGGGCTGCGAAGACCGAATCTGTAATCGATCTTTCGAAATTTTAACTTCAGTTTTCTTTTTAAAAAAATTTTTTAGTATGAAAAAATGGTTTTTTTACGAAAAAGCCTTTTTTAGCAAAAAAACTAGATTTTTTTTCTTAAATTATGATTTTTAGTAAAAAATGACTTTTTTCGTAAAAAATTCGTTTTGAGAAAAAAACCAAACTCGAAATTTTGGAAAACCGATTACAGATTCGGATTTCCCGATTACCTTTAGTCAAACTTTATAAAAAATCATTACTTAAAAAAACTCTTTCCCTGTTGAAAAAAATCAAACTCAAAAGATCTCTCCTATTTGAGACAGGAAAACCGTTCACGCTCATGAGCGTAAGTTGTGCACCTCTACTTAACACTTAATTTCAAGAACTAAGTGTTAGCATAAATATTTAATATTAAGAAATGAAGTACCGATCACTAAACTCTTTTTTATTAATATTAAGTGTTAAGTAAGAAGTTTAAACTTAGTTTAATGTTAAGCTAAAAGGATCACGCCTAAGTCCTAGAAATCTTTCAGTCACATTATCTCTTATAAAAATATCTATTATTCCTTTATTTTATCCTTATCTTACAAAGTAATACTAAAGGACCACGTCTAGTTCTCAGCTCGCTTGTGAGCTGCTGATCTTCTTGTCTATTCACAAAAACAATAATAGAATAGGATTCAGAACCACAGTATTCATCAGGACAACGATCTCTGACATGAACAGATATCGTCTAAGTAGCTCAAACTAAATACAAATAGTATATTCTTAATTACCGTTAAATAATGTTCAAGGACGATTGATGTGCAAAATGAATGAGTGAGTGCACTAGCTGTGACTCTAAATGAATGCAAAAACTAAAAATAATATGAAGAGAAATACGTTTATCATCCTCTTTTATAATACTGATAATTAATGTGTAGATTACTCATTTCACCTTAGTGAAAGAAAAAGCAAGCAGTCAGATAGAATAGCCCGTAGGCAACATTTTTTTTCGTCCTGCACATGAAAGACAATTGTTAATTGATGTATAGAGAGAGAAAAATAAGAATATATTGGCCAACTTTCTTATATTAATAAAACATGTGCAGGTAATTAGATATGAAAGCATGTATACATGCGATTTTCGTTTTTTATCCTATATGTAATCACTCTTTTGTTGATATTTTCTAATGTATAAAGAGAGAATCAACGACGCATGTCCACATTACCTTGAGAGTAAAGAGTAAAGGTTTGAGGATGTTTAAATTTAACATGGCAAACAATTTTCTTTATATATAATAATAATAATAATGAATTACTTCTTTCAATAATATGTTCATTTTTTCTTGCCTTTGAAATTCTTATTATTGATAAGAAATATAAAAACAGCAAAAATAAGAAGATTAAGAAAAAAGCTTGTTAATGTAGTCTCTGTGGGGCTGAACTGTGGAACTCACACATATTCTCTCGCCGCATTAAACTAATGCAAAATACATAAAATGAAAAATCTCTCGTAGACTACAGTTATTTTGTAGGATAATCGATCATCAAAGTAAGGATCTATCTAATTTCTGTATTTTGAATATAAATTTTTTTATTCTTTCTACGAGCATCCTATTTTTTGTTTGCAGTTTTGCTGTGCGCTCATTATTTTTCATTATTTTCTAAATTCGTTTTTCTTAATTTAACATTCTTATTAATGTAATCATTGAATTAATTGACAAATAAGTCAGTTTTACATATCCATGATATTCACAGCAGATATTACGCACTATTATATATATTAATTATGTATTGAAGTATAGCTTTTTATCTTGAAGTTTTCATGTCATTTTTTATACGTATGAAAAAAATAAGAATATATGTGTCAAAAAATGTTTTTATCCATAATCAATATATATTTATACAGGGAATTTTCGGTCTTTCGAACGGCTATTTTCAACCTGTCAGCTATTGATGGAATTAATAGTACAATATAAAAAGTATGACAAAAAACAACATTCACAAGAAAACGAAAACGAATATGCCCATGATGTATAACCAAAAGAAAAATTTGATGAAACATCATGAAACATATGTATTGGGTTGGCAACAAAGTTTTTGCGTTTTTTAAAAATTTCATTTTATTTTTCCACTACAAAAATACAATTAAGTTTCAATAATGTACGCTCCATTACTGTGTATGACTTGTCGCCAATGTTCCGGAAGAGAAAGGATTCCGCGTTTGTAGAACTTCTGGCACTTTTGGCTGAAGAAGTTGCCGAGGTCCATTTTGAGGTTATGTTCGTCGTCGAATTTTTTTTCATGCAAATGATCGGCGAGAGAACGGAACAAATGGTAGTCAGAAGGAGTTAAATCTGGAGAATACAGTGGATGTGGAACTGCAGTTCATCCAAGCTTCAATACTTTTTCACGCGTTGACTTTGCAATGTGACGTCTGGCATTGTCATGTAAAAGATAAACCTTATCCTGCTTTCCCTGAAGTTTTGTTGCAGTTCGGTCCAATTGTTGGCAGTAGAGATCCACAGTAACAGTGCTATCAGTTGGAAGAAGTTCCCAATGAATTACACCTCTTATGCCTCACCAAACGCTGAATATAACCATCATTAGATGAAGTTCATATGTTGGCGTTGGTATATCTCTTTCTCCAACTCCCAGCCATTGTCGCTTGCGCGTATGGTTGGCATGCATTATCTACTTTTCATCGCTGGTAATAAGATCGCGGAGCCATTCTTAATTGCGATGAGAAGTCAGTGATTCCATACATGCATCGACCCTGTGCTGGAGCTGAAGTGGTGATAATTCATCGAGTATCCAAACTCCATATTTCCACGTCTTGCCTAATTCGCTCAGATATTTTTCTACCAAAGTATGAGAGCATCCAAGCCGCTCTGCTAGGTGGCGTGTAGTTAATAGAGCTATGAGATAAGAGAAAATGTTTTGTGTGTACATGTTTTATTTTTATTTTTATTTTTTGATATCAGAATAAAAACGATGAAGTTATTCTTGGTTATGTTCATCAGAAATAGTGGAGTCGAATTAAGAAGTTTGTATATGAAATTAATTGTATGAATAATTTTGGACTAAATTATGACTCTACAATTTTAATATTCTTGATCGTTGCACCATCAAAATACGTTCAATTTGGTTGATACTTTTAGTGTAGTAAGTGGCAATACTTGGCTACGTTTTGTTGAAAACCCTAGCTCAATAGGTTGAACTGTAGCAGATATATTAGAGTCGAATCACTATTTGTTGCCTGTATGAATAATTTTGGCCGCCACTGTACATCGTAATATCCCCTGTGTAGCTCTACTTCAAGCAGCTTGTCTATGCTCAAACATAGAAGATTTCATTAAAGAATTATTGAACATGGGAATGATATTATTATTGAATGGTTATCCACCAATGTTTATTTCGTATCATACGAAGCACTTCTTTAAGATACGCAAGGCAGAAAATGTATGGATGGACTGAATCGGATCTTCGAGTGTATCGACAATTACATCAGCATATACTATACAAATTAACACCACGAGAGTTAAAATAAGAGAATCAAAAGATGCTAAAAACAATGATTGAAGCAGCATTCAACAACTGAAACAGCCGCCGAAAGAAGAATGACTCATTATTCACTATACGTTTGAGAGTAGTCCACTATTGGGTTTCAAACGAGAATATCTGCTCTGGTAAAAGATCTATATCTATAAAGGATCACGCATCGAAAGCCATTGACTATCCATATCGTAAATATCAGACAGTTTTTACGGGTAAACCGCGGTAAATTGTAGCGACGGGAACCGGTAACCGAACCGGTAAAACCGCGGTTAACCGTCGATTTTCTTCCGGTTTTTATTGCATGGGTAGTTATTAAGACACTAAATAACCGTTGCTTGCAAAGCTTTTTCGTTCACAAAAAATCACAACGAAAAGTGCTCACAACCGTGCTATCGAACCAAATCGACACTATCGAACACATTCCTACAACAACAGCAACCAATCAATATTGAAACTACTTCTACTTTCAATGAACCATTATCGCAATCTGCATTCTTGACCAAGCACTTCTGCTTCTTTATTTCTTTTTGAATTGTCACTTTTAAACTCACCCCATTCTAGCCTGGTCGAAATATGTATCGTAGTAGCTAAACAATTCTACTGATCGATTAAGATAAATTAGAATTTGTCTAAATTCACCCTCACCCCTCACTCATCCATCCTCAAATCTCTTAGCCATTTAGACACAGAAAGCAAGAATTGATTTTTATTGCACTATATTAGAAAAAAGAATCATTTAATATCATAACTGTATGTATTTTAGGGTGTAGGTTGAAATTGTTCACGTAATAATTTTTTATATCGTTGATGTTTTTGTACAGTTGTTCGTTGTCGAGTAATCATTACAATAATAATAATAGCTGATATAATATTGATGAAAAATGGAGCAAGAAAATGAAATATAAGTATGAATGAATTGAATGCTCGAAGATTGCTTGAATAACTAACAATTCACCAAATTCTTTTCTCATCAACATCATCATCATCATTTTCATTTAGTAGACGTCGATGAATAGGATCATGAATAGTTGTGCTAGTAGTCATAAAGAGAAGAATAAGAATAATATATTTCGCTATTTGTTTGCTCTTGTTTTTATCAAATCTAGTTCCTTTTATTGTGGCAATTGTTCTTTCTATACCTGCACATGCATTTAACCATTGATCCATACTAAGATCAATTCGTAGAAAAAAATATATTGAAGTATATTGAAACTTTAAAAATGATTGATTTGTCATGTATGTTATTTGTGCAATGATAAGTATCCAAAACTACAATGCAAAAATAATCATAATGAGTAAAATAACAATTGACGAAGTCAACAAATAGAGACCACAACCAGTTTTGTATGATTCTTTATTTCTAAATGTGATTATCGATAGAACACTATCAGTAATTCCAGCTATGATAATGATTATTGTCAATGCCACACTGACTTGTACAATAGATGGTTGATGTTTAATATTTATATGTGGTTGAATATAATAACCTAAAATAGCATCGAGTGAAAGATCAAATAAATTTGAAGTAAATTGACATCGTGCTCCATAAAAACATTTTGGACAAACACATATTGATGTTTGTGGACAAGTTGCTTTGTCTTGTAAACAATGTGCATTATTTTCACAATTACTTTGACCAAAACAATTATGTTCAATTCCATGATTGAATTCAAAACAATTAGTCAAACATTGATGATTATAATCATTATAGAAACAAAAATGATTATCATCATAGAAACAAGATAAAAGTGGCGAACGTTTTTGACATGGTAATTGATAATATTTTATACGACGAAGAGGATGAAGTTTCATGATAGTTACATTCAATATTTCACTTATATGTTTACAATGATCCAATGGAGTAATTGTTCGAATAATTCTTATCGATGGATTGTATTTATTTTGAACAATAATTAAATAGTAGTTATTATTGAAAAAATCAAGAAAAGCGACATGAAATGGATGTGGCCATTGAATAGTAACTGATTTTTGATTAGCAGGAATAGTTTTGAAAGTAGAACCATTTTCATGTAGGAGCATTATCAATCGCTCGAATAAAATGAACAAACATTGTTTGTGGTAGAATAATATCTTTATGAAATGATAAAATTATTTTATTATCAACTATTTCACATCTTTCTCCACTAAATCCTTTTGGACAGATGCATATAAATGGTTTATCAAATACAATATTTTCATCAATAGGTATGCATTTACCATTATTCTGACAAGTGGCATTTTGATTCGAATAACATATTGTATTATGAAGTAAACATTGAGAACCCCATTTATTAAGTGGACAAATACAAATAGATCGATTATTTGATGATGTACCAACACATAATGAATCAGATGAACATGTACATCTATATGGAATAGTACAATATTTTCCCGTCCATTCATGATAACATTGACAAAAAGTATTATTATTTGAATTATTTGAATATCTAATACATTGACCATGTATACATGGTTGATCTAAGCAATTTTCTTGTCTATCATTTGTACGTGGAATATGAAGTTGAACAGCAATACGATGTACAGGTAGAAATGGATACTTAAGCGGAATTAAAAAACTTCTTCGATATGTAAATGAAATCTTTTCATAAATATCAATATGAATAAAATAATTTTTTGTTAAATTTTTTGGTCTAGTTGAATAAAGTAAATAAATATTCAATTTAGTTTGACAATCTCGAATATAAATATAAGTAAGTTGTTGATATGAATGAATAATTCTTTCATTACTATCATCAATAAGTAAAATAATTAATGCAAATAATGCTCGTCAAGAATCAGAAAATGTTTGAAATCGTAATGTAAGACTAACACGTTGATTTTGATATTGACACATATTACCATAAAAACTAGGTGGACAAAGACATGCAGCAACAGTCAAGTTTTGATCAATGTTTAACCAAATTCGTAATGGAAGACCACGATGACAACGTTGCTGATGCTGTTGAATAGTTGTTTGTCTGATGGATGAATGTAGGATCATTTCATTTGTATGTTGTTGATTTCGTCGATTTACCAAGTGCAAAATGTATCATTGTCGGCTTATTGGCATCGAATTGACGTGTACAAAAGAAGTTTTCAACAGCAGAACGAATATCTTCATACCATTTCTCACAAATACTAGAGTATATAGTGATATTTCGAGTCTTATCACAAAATTGTTCATCAGTTCCATCTTGGCAACGACTTTCAAAACACAATTCTACGGGACTAATACAAAGTTCGCCTGTGTTACTGATACACTGAAAATTGTTGTCGTTAGGTTGATAATCATTTGATCGACATAGTTTAGGTTCATCAGTACCACCAAGACAATCAATATCACCATCATTTGCTTTTTCAAGAGGTAAACACATAAATTGATTTGTTTGAGGTGAAACACAAATATGATAATGTTGATATGGACAATTAAATGATAATGATGATGAATAACAATCAATTTCATCAGCTCCATTAAAACAATTCCAAAAACGATCACATCATGTATAGGTATTACTACATTGCCAATATTCACATTCTGTTTCATCTGTTTCATATCGTCCATTAACGGTAACAGGTATTAATTCTGTACAACCATCACAAATAGTTGTAAATGATACATGTTTTCTAATATAAAGATTGTTTAAATCTTCATCATCACAAAAAGCATATTGATCAGATCCACACTGACACCATCCATCTTTGACCAATGCCGGAGAAATACAGATATTTGTTGTCATACATTTAAAAAGATTATCTAATCCATGTAATAAACAAGAACCATTGATTTGAGTACATTCTTCATCGTCATTGTATTTACAATCTGT